GATAGACTGCACTGACGGGCACTGATAGGCTGCACTCAGTGCCCTGATTATCAGTGTACATATCCCCTGTCACAGGAAAACTGCTTTCCTTTCCTCAGACAGTGACAATGCTAAGGAAAGGAAATGCCAATGACAGGAATTTGTTTACATGTGATCAGCTGTGATTGGACATAGCTGGTCACATGGTAGAGAGCCAATTGGCTCTTTACCCTGATTGGTGATGTCCAAGGGACACGGCTTACCACCAATTGTGGACTGTGCATCCCCAGGGGTGCGCAGAAAGTGACGTGACCAAGAGGACATCATATGACATCCACCCGGAAGGAAGAAAGGCTCCCCCCGACTGTCAATCTGCTATTGGCTGGTTAAAATCATAGCGGTTAAAGTCATAGCAAACATGGAATTCTACTTTAAAGCAGTATTTAACCTTTTCATGCCAATCCTATATGTCTGCTCTCATTTAAAGGAACCTAAGCTATGAGCATAGCTGCTAAGGGCTTCAGAGATTGCACTGTTTCACAAAGTTTTAAGATTTACAAATGAGAAACCATAGATTCTCATAAATGAGCATACCATAATACAATCCTGCAAAACTTGAATTTTTTGTGTGTTTTTTCATAAGACAAAATGTTTTTGTATGCCTTTTTCCAATATGCATGTCCCTGGAAGCAGTGCTGGGGCAAGGTCTTCAGGTCTCAAAGGTAAAAATGCAAAGAGGTTGATTTACTGAAGGAAAATATACTGTGCACTGCAAGTACAGTTGCACTAGATCTGAGGGGAAGCTCTGAAATGAGGGGAAGCTCTGCTGATTTCTATAATCTGATCACGTTCAAGCAAAAATTCATTTTTTTATTTAATTTTCCTTGCATGTTCCCCTCAGATCTAGAGCCATTGCACTTGCAGCAGGGTCGGATCTAGCCTGTCTGATGTGGGGGTGCAGTAAAATATGTTCAGAGGGCAGAGGATGTTAGGTCAGCAGGGCACTGCACAGAGGATCAGCGGGGCAGAGGATAGAGTCATAAGTTTATAGGGCAGTGTACAGAGACCATTAGCTTGTAGGGCAGAGGATAGGGGTCAGTAGAGCTGAAAAAGGGTTCAGTATAGTATAGTGGCAGGTTAGGGCAGTACAGTGGCAGGTTACTGTAGTATAGTGGCAGGATAGGAAAGTAGAGTGCTAGACTATGGCAGTATGTGGTGTCATGGTGTTATCTCATGGCTTGAAATCAAAGACACTCAGGTTGCTGTTTACTCCCCCACTTTGCTCTTCTTCACCTACCAGATCAACCTCAGTGAAGGGTCTGTGGGAGGAGTGGAGGAGATAGCCACACCTCCAGCTCCGCCCACCAACTCCGGCTGCCTCGGAAGTCATTGTAGATCCCTGTTGGACAACCTAAGCAGAGTGGATGACTGGGGAGTGTTATAGGCAGCCTCCTCCACCCTGCTGTGCTCCCTTCCTGCACAGCCGATCAATGTATTTACAAATCTGCAGACAGGGAAAATTCAGCTGTCTGAATCAATGGTCCAGTGGCAAGGCACAGTGTCCAGCATGGAGGAGGGCAGCTGTTGGCTTTGGGGGGGCATGAGTGAAATCTGGGGGGACATAGTCCACCCCTGTACCCCCCTAGATCCGACCATGACTTGCAGTGCTATTGCAGTGCGCTGCCTATTTGCCTGTAGTACATCAACCCCCAAAGTGTGTCCACACCCTGTTCCTGACATAAATTGGATTATGCTTGATGCTCTTACATACAGGGGCTTGGCTAGTTCAGGGAGGAAGAAATGATAGCCATTGTTCACTGGACCTAGGGTTGCCACTTGTGATTTGTCCCTTTTATACTATAAATGCAACAAAATTGCAAGTATGTTTATGGTACAAAGTATGATGAATTTGGGTACACAGGGACTCTTAAACAATTGCAAAAATAAATAAACATAATGGATGAGAATTTAAAGAAAATTTAAAAATGTACATTCTAATGGATCAAAAAAAAATAGAGGGTTAATAGAATGTACCTTTTTTTGTTTTATTATCATTATTATTATTTTTTTTTTATAATAGCAGGTTTGCGGGAACTAGCATTATGTGCAGGACAAAGAACAATACTTTGATTTGCACATAAGCACTAATTTTGGAAAAAATGTTGCGACCTGTAGTATCCCCCACTGCAGAACTTAAATTAGGAGAATATTCTGCCTCTGCACCAGCTCAGCCCTGTCTGAGAGCATCACTTTGATATGAAGTGGTACCATAACATGAGTGTACAGTATATTCTTTTCGACAGAGATTATCATTACTGTTTTCTTGTAATGATCTTTAATGCAGTACACAACACAATGGGGTTGATTTACCAAAGGCAAATAGTCTCTGCACTCCAAGTCCACTGAAAGTGCAGTTGATCTAGATCTGAGGGGAACATGCAAGGGAAAAAAACAGCATTTTGCTTGCACATGATTAAATGAAAGAAATAAGCAGAGCTTTGCCTCATTTCAGATCTTCCCCTTGGGTATAGAGCAACTGCACTTGCAATGTACACTATATTTATAGTACCTTTTTTTAAATCAACCCCCAATAGGTACTATTAGAGGTTTTACCCCCCTCCCCCCCCATCAACTTCAGAAGAGATTTTTGCAGATATTCTGACCCCAAATTAGTCTCCACCACATCGAAAATGTACCGGTATATTAGTTATCTGTCTAATACTAATCTCTTTGGAGTACATATATAGCAGGAAACTTTAGGTTTTCCTATCCCCTGACACTAAATGTAAGAGGCTTGGACTGATCTGAGTTCTGAAGTATACAGTATAAGGACTCATGCACATGGAATTAGAAATGTACACAGGATTTTGCTGGCAGAAAGAAATCCTATGTTAAAAATTGTCCATCATGCTTCTTAATCCTATGTGGACATACACTTGATGTACATATACAGTTGGGATGAGTATATAAAAATAATTTATTCAGACTGACTGAAAGTGGGGGTCATTCTGCACCAGCACAGCCACCACTGTCTAGTAGCTCTTTGTTTATATTTACATCTCCCCTTGACCCTGAATAAATCATTCCCTAGGCACAGAATGACCTCAACTATACGCAACGGTGGCTTTTATGCTTTTATACTCCTTAGATCTACATGAAATTGTACTTGGTACATATCTAAATGCAGAGTTTTATACACCCCTGTCCATAAGCCCTAAGGGTGGCATGGGAAAGGTTCAATGATCTGAGGTCTGAGGTGTACTGATATTCTGGCTTGACTTAAGACATGTATACCATAATTTTGAAAAGCAAAGTCACCTTCTTAGAGAGAGGTAGAGCAAGATGTGATCTTGGATATGCACACACAGTCATAGCATACGGCTTACTCAGTAGAACATTGCTCAAAGAAATATTGATGGTCAAAGGGTAGTAAACTATAGACTGCATTAATATTTCAGTTTTTTTCAGTTATATCAGTCAGGAAATTATTTCTTATTGGTTTACTGATAGATATCATTAAATCTGCCTCTCCATTGCAACATCCAATCTGCCATGCGTAGTAGTCATAAAGGTTTCCCATGGTTGTTGTTTATTTTGTCAAGAGGCTATTGCAAAACCAAAAGATGCAAATGCAGTTAGGTGGCTTCTACTATTAATCACCCCTTAGGGGTCAATATTCCACTGAAAACAGCAACCATTTTCTCTACCTTTTGTAATTTTCACATCAACAGGCCATAAATGCTTAAAGTGGACCTAATCTGGCCCAAAACACAGTACATGAGGCCTTGACTTTTGCCCATTGGAATATTATTCACTAAACTAAACCCCTGGTACCAAGCCCTGACCCCTCCATTCATCTATCAATTTCCAGAACTTCATTGAGTTGTTGATGTTCTGACATTTGATAGCTAAAATTACAGGATACAAGGCTTAATTTCAACTTGAGCAAAACTGTAGACCCATTTACAGCCTAGGAGGCTCCATGGGGATAATTTTAAAGTACTTTCCTGAACCCCAATACCTTTTAGGCCCAGTCAGGTTCACTTTAACATTAAAAAAGGCATACTAAAGATGTAATGACAGCATTCAAATGCATCTCACCAACTCATAATGTATATTCAACTTTCCTTGCTGTCAGCAGTAAGTGTAGTACAACAGGTCTCTGGAAACACCTTTACTTCATTTGTCATGCTTCCCAGCTTTACATTGCTGACAGTTTTACGGTTTTAATTCATATAAATTTGCTGTGTTTAACAAAGAGTAATGTGTTTGGGTGATATGTTTTATGCTTGAGTTAGAACTATAAAGCAGCAGAGACAAATTATTTTGCTTCTAAGAGTATTGACAGAAACAGCTGTTGAAAAGTTTGAATCAGCAGTTGTTCATGCTGGAAATCAGCCCACATTTAATATGTTTTTAAAAGCATTAAAATAGATTTTGCTTTAAGAACAGTACTATTTTTATGATGCTTTCTTGTTCATTTAGCCTTAATCACAATGCTAATGTTAGCATTGTATATGAAATCTACAGGGATATTTTAACCTCCCTAGTGGTCTGATTATGTCCATTATTATTTCTGTGCTCAAAGTGGTACATATGTTTGCATGGAAATATGTATTTTTTTATTGTAGGCCTGTAATTGTTAGGAATAACTCACTGAAATCTGTCCGAACAAGAGTCTAGTAAAAATCATCCTGGGTAGGATAAAATTTGAAACACGAAATCATAAATTATAATTTAATAAGTAATCATAAAAAATAATAATATAATAATAATACATTTAATTCAATAATATAATCAAACCAAAAACACTGAAATTTGAAATATAGCACCAGGTTTGCACATCGCTGAGCAAAGTTGCAAAATCGTTTTCAGTGTCTGATGACAAATTTCCCCACGAATCATTATCACTCAATTCTGCAAGTAGTTCTAATTTACTATCGCTGTTCTCTAGCTGGTCTAAAACCAATTTTGACCTAAAGGGACGCTTTTTGGACGCCATGGACGTTTCTGTTTCCAGGCAGAAAGAACAGTAAAAATACAGGCAGGGCGCAGGACAAAGCACTCGAGACAAAATGTATGTGAAATGGTTTGATACAGTAATGTTTTACTATGTTATTTTAGTGAATTTAGTGAATGGCACTTTTTGTCATTTTCAAATTTCCTGCCGTTCCGTCCCCGTACGTCCTGATGTCAAAGGGGCTGGAACCCAGAAGACAGATGCTGGCATCCGCCAGAGGACATTACAGGGGACACTGCAAGAGGGACATTGTGGGAGCGCAGGACAAGGTAAGAGAAGAACAGATCCCGGAACAACGCCGCAGGGTATTCCTGAGTGTAGCTCGGGGTTACTGCTTGTGGTTACTGAAACTTTACCCCGAGCTACACTCGGGAATACCGCCAGGGAGGCTACGGAGGGGGGAGCTGAAGATTTATGTATTGTCCTTTCAAGTGCTATAGCCATTTTAAAAATGTTTTAGGTGAAAATGTAGACAATTCCTTCAAGCCAGGGGTGGACTGACCATTCGAGCACTCGGGCACTGCCCGAGGGCCCGGGGTCAGTAGCAGGCCCCATGAAATGCCCCTGGTACCTTTTTATACGCTTTTTTGGGTGTGCTTTGAGCATGGGCAAGGACACAGGGGCCCCATGATCCCCTATTGCCCGGGAGCCCCATGAGCTGTCAGTCCACCCCTGCTTCAAGCCCTGAAAAAGTTCAAGAAGTCTGATGCTACTATGGAGTTTTAGTCCAGTTTAACAATTAAGAATTCACAATTAAATCTGCTTTATTTACAGTTCCATCAAAGCATAACAAATCAGATGACAGCATCATTTTCAAGTTCAGCATTGTCTACAAAACAGAATTATTACAATATTTATTTATTGTCATATAAGCTGCAAAATGATGCAGGGATAGGTAGACTAAGTCATAAAAAAAAGGATTTGCCTTTGGTAGAGGTAGGTAAGCATGTGACAAAACCTATTCAAATTAAATTCTTTAGCAGATTAAACATTTCCCAAATATACACTATAGTGCCAAAAGTATGTGGACATCCGTTCAAATCATTGGATTCAGGTGTTCCAATCACCTCCATGGCCACAGGTGTATAAAACCAAGCACCTAGGCATGCAGACTGCTTCTTCAAACATTTGTGAAAGAATGGGTCATTCTCAGTGAATTCAAGCATGGTACTATGATAGGTTGCCACCTGTGCAATAAGTCCATCTGTGAAATTTCCTTTCTATTAAATATTCCACGGTCAACTGTTAGTGGTATTATAGCAAAGTGGAAGCAACTGGGAGCAACAGCAACTCAGCCAAGTAGTGGTAGGCCACGTAAAATGACAGAGGGGCTCCAAAAGGCGTTTGATTCTGTGTCTTAGGACTATCTTTTCCAGCTGTTGGAGGCTTAGGGATTTGGAGTCGATTCCTTGCTATCCTCAGTGCCCTTTACATGACGCCTGCAGCCAGGGTCCGCCTACAGGGCTATCAATTTCTTATCCCATTCGGATTCGGAGGGGCACTAGACAAGGCTGCCCCCATTGCTTTTTCATATTTGCTACTAAGATTGAAAGTCTGGTGATTGCAATTAGATCTGACCCAGATATTCATGGGGTGAAGTATGGTGGGCACCCTCTCAAATGTGTGTTATTTACAGATGATTTGCTATTTTTAACCTTACGTTTGCTCTTGCTCCCTAATCTTCTCAAGACTCTTCAGGTATTTGGACAGTTCTCAGGTCTGCACGTCAATGAAAATAAAAATGGTAGCCATGAATATTAACCTACCTTTGTCCCTGGCAGCCAGATTGAAGGAGGCATTTCCCTTCTCCTGGAGTTTGGACTTCGTTCCCTACCTGGGAATCAGTTTCACACCCACCCTATCCTCTCTGTACAAGGTCAACTACCCTCCATTATTTAAAATGCTAGAAGAGGATTTATGGGTTTAGGTGACTCATGATCTATTCTGGTTAGGCATGATCCATTCAGGGCACAGGCTGTCGAAACAGGTTCTTTTTGCACATAAAACACCTGGGGGGTTGGGTCTTCCTAATCTGCTGCACTATTATCAAGCTGTCCAAGTAGCTCAAGTTTTAATGGTATATTCCTGTATTAAAAAAACAGAATGGATATCTATGGAATGAATGGCAGCTAGGTTGGTTCCCCTGGACTTTTTAAAATGGCAGCTGCCATAACAGCATATGCTGATTCTAGCTGCCACCCTGTCAAACTCTTTGAGTGTGTGGGACAGAGTGCAAAATAATCTGATCTCCCCCTTCAAACCTTTATTTAATTTTTTTTAATAATGTTTAATTTCCCCTGGTTCTGGACCCTGAAGCCTTCCGGTGATGGCTTAATAAGGGTCTTTACCAAATAGGCCAATTTCCCACTCTCATGGTCCCTTTCACTCTACAACACTGTCGGTATAGATTAAAAATGCCCCCTTTTGAGACATTCCATTTTTTAAAATTGCACACTTTTTGTGCTCTATAGGCCCTGCAGTTATAAATGATCCCACATTCACTGCTTATGAATCTTGGTGCACATGGAAGACAGGTCATAGGGGAGGGATATCGACAATTTACAGGCTGCTGCTGACTTCCACTGATAAGTTTCACTATATGAGAGCTTAGGACTTGCATTTCACTTTAGAGAAAGATATCGAGCATTGGCATTCCACTCTCCACCTGTCCTAAAAAGGAATTCTTAATATCTCCCTTGTGGTAGCAAATATAAAGGTAATGATCAGATGGTATATGGTTCCTGCTCGGCTTTCAAAGTTTTATCTGACCTTCTCGCCCTTCTGCTTTAGAGGTTGTCAGTTACTGGGTACGATGTACCATGTCTGATGGGAGTGTCCAAAACTACGGGGCTTCTGGAATAGAGTGTTTGCTCTGATCCGTAAAGTCACTGGGACTCCGGTCCCTCAGTTGCCCCGAATTACACTGTTGAATGAGCCATTGGAGGACCTGCTTTGCTCCACAAGAAAGCTGATCTTTTTCATGTTTCTAGCAGCCAAGCACACAATAGATAGATCATCAAAAACACCTTCTGTCTTTATGTCACTGTATAGGCATAAGGTCTCCTGGATAATGTTGAATGAACAACTTACTAGTGTGCTTATCGATGCTGTCAAGCGATTTGAGGGAACATGGGAACGTTGGGCAAAATATGTTCATGTGGCCTTGGAATGCTTCCCCTCTTGCCTTCTAATGGGGGCCATATCTTGTTCCCTCCTCAGGGTTTCCACCCCCTTTTTTTCCTTTCTTTTCTCTTTTTTTCACATTCTCTTGTTTTCTGTCTCTTCATCTCTTGGTCTTCTTGCACTATACTAGTTTGTTACTAAGGACTACGCCAGGCTGGGCTTAGTCGCCAGGGCTAAAGCTAGCCCTGGCAAGAACCTCTCCTTATGTAGGAAGTTCCTGACATGTTCATGCACTGTTTATTTGCTTTGACTGCTCACGTTAATTTGCTGTTGTTACTGCCTTTGCATCATCTGTATGTGTACCAAGGCCCTGGACCCACACAACTGTTTCTTTTATCACTGTACCATATTTTGGTCTCATTGACTGATTCTTTTTCTACTTCTGTACTTTGTACATCTAATAAAAAAAAGATTGAAAGTAAAATGACAGAGCAGGGTCAGCGCATGCTGAAGCGCACAGTGCGCAGAAGTCACCAACTGTCTACAAAGTCAATAGCTAAAGACCTCCAAACTTCATGTGGCCTTCAGATTAGCACAACAACAGTGCGTAGAGAGCTTCATGGAATGGGTTTACATGGCCAAGCAGCTGCATCTAAGCCTTACATCACCAAGTGCAATGCAAAGCGTCGGATGCTGTCATGTAAAGCACACCACCACTAGACTCTAGAGCAGTGGAGATATGTTCTCTGGAGTGATAAATCACACTTCTCTGTCTGGCAATCCTATGGATGTGTCTGGATTTGGCAGTTGTCAGGAGAATGATACTTTTGACTGAAATGTGCCAAGTGTAAATATTGGTTGAGGGGGGGGGATTATGGTGTGGGGTTGTTCTTCAGGGGTTGGGCTTGGCCCCTTAGTTCCAGTGAAGGGAACTCTTAAGGTGTCAGCATACCAAGACATTTTGGACAATTTCATGCTACCAAATTTGTGGGAACAGTTTGGGGATGGCCCCTTTCTGTTCCAACATGTCTGAGCACCAGTGCACACAGCAAGGTCCATAAAGACATGGAAGAGAGAGTTTGGGGTGGAGGAACTTGACTGGCCTGCACAGAGTTCTGACCTCAACCCGAAACAACACATTTGGGATGAATTAGAGCAGAGACTGTGTGCTAGGCATTCTCATCCAACATTACTGCCTGACCTCAGAAATGCACTTCTGGAAGAATGGTCAAACATTCTCATAGACATACTTCTAAACCTTATGGACAGCCTTACCAGAAAAGTTGAAGCTATTATACCTACAAAGGGTGGGCCAACTCACTATTGAACCCTATGGACTAAGACTGAGATGCCAATAAAATTCATGTGCTTGTACATGCAGGTGTCCCAGTACTTCTGGGAATATAGTGTATATTCCAAATGTGTATTTAGATGTTTGCTTATAGTTCTACCTTATGTCATTTTTAATCTAATATTGCTGAGTTTTAGTGTCCTTTGTATGATTTCACTGTTTCCCTATAATTTATGATACTATTAAAGGAAGCTAGACATATAGTTGTTGATTTACTAAAGGCGAATAGGCTGTGCAGTGCAAGTGCACTTCCAGAAAGTGCAGTTGCTCTAGACCTGAGGGGAATATGCAAGGAAAATACAAAAACAGTATTTTTGATGGACATGATTGGAGGAAAGAAATCAGCAGAGCTTCACCTCATTTCAGAGCTTCCCCTCAGATATAAAACATCTGCACTTGCAGGCGCACTTGCTGTGCACAGTATATTTACCTTTAGTAAACCAATCCCAAAGTATGTATAATACTGCTGGCGGAGACTGTCAAGTTGAATAACATCCAGTCTATATAGGGAGCTGTAAGGAAAGAGTGGTTTTCATTTTGGTAACTATACTATTTTGGTAACAGCAAAACTTGGAAATAAATGAAACCCACATATTCATGCTGCAGAGGAAAAGTAACACATTATAAACAATTGGTTCCACTGCAAACACATTCCATTATGTTAGATTGATATGCTGTTCTTTTTACATGAAAAAATATGATGCATTTAGTAACACATTTATTTAACCACTTCAAAACTATAGGAGATACCCATAAATTCTCTAGTGGAAGTGGGCATACCAGGTTCATGGCTGCAGTTGCAGCCATGAACTCAGTATCAGTGTTTTCAGTCGGCGACACTGAACACTATAAAAGTAATCCAAGCAG